AACGCTTGGTGTGAACGGCGGTGGGATTCTATGGGCTGAATGGGACAATGTTCAGTTAAACTGATTACTGTAGCTTTAATCTCTGACCTCAGGTCATCACCAACTGGATCGAGCCTCCTAAAAGAGAGCGAAAAGCCAACTATGCTGTGGATGCGTACTTCAGAGAAGCTCTGCGGGTCAGTGAGCCCAAAGCACCAAAGGTAGGTCCAGACAACTACAGACACCCAGAAACACAGCAGGGAGGGCTACGATCCTAACAGAGAGTTTTGTTCGCTTCTTTGAAAGGCTCCTCGTCCCCCGAAGCAGCCAAACGTTCAGGACTTCCAGTTCTTCCCTCCACGTCTGTTTGAGCTTCTGGAGAAAGAGATCCTGTTCTACAGGAAGACCATAGGCTACAAGGTAAAAACAGTCCATCATAGGTTCGCTGGCTTATGTCTCCCTGTCTCATAGTTTGACCATGTCCTCTGGCTCAGGTTCCCCGGAACCCAGACGTCCCCAACTCGGCCCAGGTCCAAAAAGAAGAGCAGGCCAAGATCGATGAGGCTGAAGCTCTCACCGAGGAGGAGCTGGAGGAGAAGGAGAATCTCCTGCAGCAGGTACAGACCAGTCTCACCCTGAACAGAGGGTTTCTTCACCATCTTTACTGTATGTGACGTAATCACAGTAATCAGACAGCAGCTCTGACAGAGTCAGGCCATTTTTTGTTCACTTAAAGTCATAGGGAAGTCATATTAAAAATGTCAAATCATTCTGGCCTAAACATGTATATAAATGTACTCTTTATCAGAACATATTGTCCCAAAAGTTAGAAAATTTCTATATTAAAAAAAAATCCTTTCCTAAAATCTTTGGGGGTTTTTTTTGTTATTTTTTACAGGCCAGTTAGTTATAAGTCAGCCTGTACTCCTAAATTTGGCCACTAATATATATTAACGCTCATCTGTCAAATGTTTTTGGTCCTAGCATTTTGAATCATATGTTGCAGCTAATATACACAACGGTTAAAATAAGAAATAAGAATAATTTACTTTACCATTGAGTTATGTCCCAGTGTTCACGGGACCGGAATCTGTCACCGCCGCGCTGGGCTCCAGACCGCCTTCGCAAAGCAAAACCTACAGCCTCCGCAGTTTGAGGAGAGCAAGCGTGATATTATTATTTAATCCATAGGAGCAAAACATGCGGAAAAAAATGCTTAATTTAATATGATGTATTAAAAAAATCCCCATCAGCATCCAGCGTATGTGCAGTTTCTTCCCAACTATTTTCTTTTTGTAACAGGGATAACTAGGATCATCCAAAACTTTCTTATTATGAACTTTGTTTGTTCTCTACTTCCAAACTCAGCATCTCTTCATCCATTCCTGCAATAGGAAGTTTCTTTTGACTGGATTTGATTAAACTTTTAAGCCCCTCGGTATAAAATAAATATTTTGCAAATGATAAATCTGCTTCCTGGTCTGTTGAAGAACCAATAGTTTGCGTCCAATCATTTAAATAAACAGTGTTAGTTTTTGTTATTTTTGGAATATATAAGAATTATTTTATAATTTCTAGTTACCGATCTGTCGTTACTATATTTTAATTTGACAAACCAGATCTTCCCGCCGTTCTTTTTCCCTGTTTGGTGCCATTGCAATTGATCTTGACCTGGTTGGACCAGGGCGGCGCAAAAAATAGCTCGGTTCCGCATTTTCAAGGTGACTGACTGAGAAGAAGTACGTGGACGGTGCCGTGCGGAGGAGTAGCGATGGAACAGCTCTCATTGTTTAACATGACAGACTGTCGGAGCGCGGACCCAGTATGCGGAATCTGGGGGTTAGCCTCCAACTGCAGCCTCAGGCTGCTGGTATTTGGTGAACATCTTCGCTCATTTATTCAGTGGCTAAGATGTTTATCGAAATAGCGGAGATGTGTTATTGAATAAAATGACATCAGGATTCTACATAGATATTGGATTATTGTCCAGCCCTGTGTTTAAAAAAAAAAAAATCCAGAAACCAGAAAATAAACCATAGAAATCAATAGTTTATCAGACTTTATTCCTTCTTCCCATTTTTATATAACAATTTTAGCATAATCTGAGTTCAGTAAGTTCCAGCTGATCATTCGGGATGTTTTTCTGGTCGGTTACTATTTGTTTATAAGAAATTCCCCTGGAATCAGTCCAGATCTTCAGTCGTTTGAGTGAGAAAGACTTTAATTTTACTCCTTTAATCGTCTAACAAACTGATGCTCCTGTGGTGGGAAATGTCCTTCATCTTCGCTTCATTCATCAATGCTTATTCCTCACAGGGATTCACAATTTGGAGCAAACGTGACTTCAACCAGTTCATCAAAGCCAATGAGAAGTGGGGAAGAGATGATATTGAGAACATTGCCAGAGAAGTTGAGGGAAAAACCCCTGAGGAAGTCATGGAGTATTCTGGTACGAAACAAATCCAACCTGCGTCTGGTTTCTCTCTGCATTCGACTCAACCTCATGGGTTCTTCTTTGTTTTGCAGCCGTTTTCTGGGAGCGTTGCAACGAGCTGCAGGACATCGAGAAGATCATGGCCCAGATCGAGAGAGGAGAGGCTCGGATCCAGAGAAGGATCAGCATCAAGAAGGCTCTAGACTCCAAGGTAAACGCTGACAGCTGAGCAACTGCTAGTTCTCCTCCTGGTGACTCCAACCAACCTTTGCCATGTTCCTCCGGACAGATCGGCCGCTACAAGGCTCCCTTCCACCAGCTGAGGATCTCCTACGGCACCAACAAGGGCAAGAACTACACGGAGGAAGAAGACCGCTTCCTCATCTGTATGCTGCATAAGCTGGGGTTCGACAAGGAGAGCGTGTACGACGAGCTCCGCCAATGCATTCGTAACTCGCCCCAGTTCCGCTTCGACTGGTTCCTTAAATCCAGGACGGCCATGGTGAGGCAGCTCTTCGTTTGTCCCGTCTGTTAGTCCTCAGGCTGGTTCGCATGCATGACGCTTCCCGGTCTGTCCTGTTTGTGTGAAGGAGCTGCAGAGGCGATGCAACACCCTGATCACGCTGATAGAGAGAGAGAACATGGAGCTGGAAGAGAGAGAGAAGGCCGAGAAGAAGAAGAGGGGACCAAAGAGCAGCTCGGTGAGTCGGAGGCTGAGCTCCACTTCCTGTTGGTCATCTGGATTTGCTTCTTGTTGACTCCCTCTTTAACGACTTCTTCCTTCTCTCCAGGCGCAGAAACGTAAAGCAGAGGGAACCCCTGACGGCCGAGGACGCCGGAAAAAGCTAAAATTGTGATGCAGGTGTTGAAATCCAGGGTTCTACTTTGGCTGCGTCTGGCAGCGGCATTAGTCCCAGTGTCTGTTTCACAGGCTGCATACAGCCTCCCCCGACCAACTGGGTCGCTTTAGGTGTTCCTCTACAGGCCTGCCTGGTTGTCACTGATCCGAACACTTCAGCTGTGCTGGGTTAGACTTTCTTCCTTAGTTTTTTTTTTTTTTATATTAGAAGTTAACTGAGATAACTGTATTTATGCCTTTGTGGTTGCACTGCATTCCATTGCTCCAAATGTTCCCCTTGTCATTTCTGGAATCATCTGTTTCTGCTTCGTCCCGTTTGGAGCATAAAATGTCCCTTTGAGTCACCAATAAACCCCCTTTTTATACAAAACTCCACTCAGTGGCTCAGACTCTTTTAATGTTTATCTCCTCAAAAACAAGAAAAACAGCAGAGCTTAGACTTTTCTGGTGAAATGAGGTTAGACTGTATCAGCAGCTGAGGACTTGATCCAAACCTAATGCATCAGAATAAAACTGAAACATTTATCTAAAATCTTATTTCAAATCGTCTTTATTACTTTGAATCATGGCTTTAAGCGGACAAAACATTTTGAAAATTACATCATTACAATTCTACCGATTCCTGCTGAGTTGATGAGCTGTTCCGGCATACAGGCTCTCCTATCCATGAACTGCTGCCCCTGGAGGGGAGGGGTCACTGCAGACCCAGATCTATGGGCGGAGTTTCCATTTTTGCAGTTTATAACCTTATATTTGGCAAAATGGAACCCAGAAATTTTGCTTTTTAAAATTATTTACATTTCTTTTTTTTTTCAAGAATTTTTTTTTTTCAAATTGTGTTTCACTGCTGAATTAAAACTCTCTAGACCAATAAAAATTGCTATCATCCAACAGACCAATAGAAATAAGCAATTTTTTTAAACTAAGATTGGAAAAATAAGAAAGGTTCCTCTTATAACCTTATTTTTTTTATAAAAACAGTTTCATTTCTGGAATCCATTATGGATCCATCTGCTCTGACAAATGGCATCAAAACAGACTGGGGTTATGAACCTTCTCATACTGGTCAGTGCCTTGCTGAGGGGCACATGGGCATCTAATTCTGTGTTCCACTGAGCCACATTCATCTTCCTGCAGTTCTGTAGAACATCTAGTGTTTATAGATCAGGCCGTTTGTGTCCTGGAGAGGCTGCAAAATCAACCCCAGAACGCTCCGTCTGCGTCGCTTATTGAACGATGGGTCAAACATAGAGGACAGATTTCGGACCGTAAAACGATAAAAAACCTTTTCCTTTTTAGCCTTTACCTCATAAACCTCTTAAGGTTACAGTTTGTGCTTTTTCTATCAAATTATTTCCACCATTTTTCCAAAGAGGTTTTGCCCCACAGACCTGTTGGACTGCAGGTGTCTGATTCTGCAGCATTTCTACCAAACGTTTCTGCTCCTTTACCAACCGATACTACGTCTGTGCGTTCCCCCGGAGGCTCCGCCACATTAAGGGCCGCCCCAAACCACGTAGAGCGTAGGGCAAGCGGTAATGCAGACTCTGGTTAAATGCCGGAGGGAACACCTCCATTCCCATGTACCTAACAAAAACATACAATTATCTGAACTTTGAAACATTTTCTTTTCAAGTTCAAATATTTTTTTTAGTTTCCAAATATATATTTTTTTCATACTCAAAAAAAAAAAAAAAAAAAACATTTTATTTAACAAACTTTGGCGCCACTACGGCTTCATTAATAAACCACTTGTGTCTTTAAATGCTCAGCGATGCTAGATGTTTTCTTAAAAAGTTTTTTTTTTGTTTACTCTCACATTTTATAATTAGCAAAATTTTATTTTACTGTTAGTTAATCAAAAGAAAAACTAAAACTAGAATGAAAACCCCCTGAAGCTTTGAACTTGTTACCATGACGCAAAATATTTTCCTTTTTATGAACAGATCAGTGAAATATTTCCACAGATAAATCTGAAAAATGTTTAACATGTGATGTTACATTACATACTGTCACATTTATCCGTTTATTATTTAGTCTGGTTTACTCAATAATCAATAAAAAAAAAAAAAAATCAAAGGTTATTAATGGCAAAACTATTGTGATAAAAGTTAAGGTTTCATTTGGAAATGAATTTGTTTCCTGTACTGCATGCATCTGCAAACACCAGATAAATGTCATATTTTACAACGGGGCGTTCGGTGAGAGAGTTCAGTGTTTTAGGTTCGAGCCTCCATGTTTTTCTAATTCTCAGGAGTCTTCATCAAGGCCTGCAGGACACTACTGCTAAAGCTGGAAGCTTGTCTGCATGTGGGCCCCGGGCACCGGCAGCCTGTCATCCGCCAGCTGCTCTGGGCTGCATTCAGTGCTCCAATCAAAGGCCCAGCGCTGAGGAAGACTGCTGCAGTCTTTGTAAGATGAAGAGAATCCGAGCCTCATTTAGACCTCCGAGCTGTCTGCACCGCTCCACGCGCCTGCATGGCTGTAGCCTGAGTATGCGGCGGAGGAGGAAGCGGCGTACGGAGGGAACTGAGCCGCCTTCTCCCCCCGCTTGCGCCTCAGCAGCAAAACGACCACGATGGCTACGAGGCAGATGAGCAGAACCAGACCTGCGATTCCCACCAACATGGGTAGCAAGGAAGCATCAGCCGGCTCTCTGCCCGAACTCTCCAGCAGGGGGCGCTCCAAATAAGGGTCGCTGCGGGGCGCCCAGGGCTGCTGCTGGGTGACCCTCATATGGTCCGATCGATCCAAAGCAATGTGCTGGATGTTGGTGCCTCGGTTGTTTCTGGCACCGATGTCCTGAGCCAGTGCCGGAGCGGAGAGCTCGGCGGCGGCGGCTCGGCGATGGCGGGCGGAGAGAGGCTGCCCGACCGAGGAGATGCTGTGCTGGAGGTCTTCAACGCTGCGCTTACCGATGTGTCGGTTAGCGTTGTCTGTGGAGCGCAGGGTGTAGATGGTGTGGATGAACCATTCTCGACCTGCAGCCACCTGAAAAACAAACCAAGATGGTGGTCTTCATCTGCACCCTAATTTTTCTTAATGCTCATAGAAAACTTTACGATTTAAAGTAGGTCGCCTTTAAAATGATCTTCATAGACATTTGCTTCCTGTTCCACCTCTTTCCAGTTCTCCCCTTGAACACTGTGGAGCTTTTCTGGCCTAAAAAGGGATCCATTGGGTGACAGCGGCGTTGGGTGCAGCAGTCTGCCCTTCCAGTGTTGTCGTGTCCTTGGATAAGACACTTCATCTGCATTGCCAACTCATGGTAGTCAGAGGGCCCGGTGGCATTAGTGTAAGGCAGTCTTACTTCTGTCAGTGAGCCCCAGGGCAGCTTTGGCTACATTGTAGCTTGCCACCATCAGTATGTGAGTGGGTGAATGACTGAAGGTAGTGTAAAGTGCTTTGGTCAAGTCTCCTGACTTGAAAAAGCGCTATATAAGTTTAGGCCATTTACTAGCCATTGATCTCAAATCTAAAGAGCGAAAATAAAAGATCTGAGAGACGAGTCGATCCTCATCTTCTACACTGGATGGTTTTTAGGAGAAAACCTTGATGCTTTGGGGTTCGATCCCCACAGCCTCCACTCTGGGTTCCTGAGCAAAACCCTTAACCCCACACTGCTCCCCGGACGACGCACAATGGCATCCCACTGTTCCCCAAGGGTATGGGTCAAATGCAGAGATACATTTCTCCAATGTCCATTATTATCATACATCAGAACATTTAGTGTCTCAGTGATCCACTGCTGAAAAGAAAGATCCTCAACATTTGACAGATTTGTCCCACAAAAACATTTCATCAATCAGGTCAAGTAAGACTCAATGAGCTAAAAAAACAAGAGTTAACAACAGCCTGAAATAACATAAAGGAGAGGAGAACTACTGTTCAAGCATTCCTGGTAACCTGGACTATAGATTAGAGTTGTGGACAGGATTGTTGGACCTGATCCCTCTGAGAGTCACTGACCTGAAAAAGCGGCGTAGAAGACAGCATGAAGCCGTCTGAACCTGGCTGCCTGACCAATGTTTGTGCTCCAGGAGCATCTTGGGCCAGTTTGGCCTTGAAGGCAACATCCCCAAAGGCTGAAGCTTGGGTCTCTGGCTGGGCTTTGTCCTGCAGAACCACACGCATTAAAACCAGAACCAGAAACAACACCTCTCTTAAATCACCTTGAAATGTGTTGCTTCCTACCAAAATCTTGAATCTATAGAGCAGAGAAGGAGCATCTGCCAGGCAGCCATACTCCCTGTTTGTAGGGTTGTACTTGGGGACGTATCCGTCCGCTCCGGTGCAGAGGAAAACCTTCTCGATGCTGCAGGAGAAGGAGTCGCCCAGGTTCTGCACGGGGTCTACCATAACACGGCCGTAAATGGTGGAGCCTGAGACAAAGAGCAGCAGGTGAATAACCAAGTCTGGAGGTCAAAGCTGTAATGTTTTCTTACTCCACTAGAGGGCAGTGGTGTCCAACCTTCAGAAAACGCTGCATCAGTTCCTTCCCCGAAGCCCATGGAGCCATCAGACAACCAGAGCTCTCTCTTCGACAGCAGGAACATCTGAGTGTTCAGACTGAATTCAGCCGCCACCGGATCGCTCACCTGTCAGAGAGGATGACACATCACATCAGGAGGGAGGGGGGGCGTAATCATTGGACCACAGGTTCCCAATATAGTAACTTTTATATAATCCCTAAAGTATATGGAAGCCCAATATATAAAGGTTTGTCCCATGAAATGAATAAATGCAGTATGAAATTAGGAAAATTAATATAGAGTTAAACATCATTTAATATACCATTAAATTCTATCATGCTCAATAAGCAGTTCAATCTCCAAATAAATAAGTAAAAAACTAATTTAAATTATGAAAAATTAATATTTTTACTTCACTCTCCAACAAAGTTGGTAAACACAGGTAGGAACCTTTGGGAACCCCCTGGGTTAGTGTTACACCAATACCAATACCAGTATCAGGCGGGGACCCG